AGGTTTTTGATTATAAACAGCTGTATTTGCCGCAGTTCCTCATAGAAAATTTGTTAAAGCCACGAGTCAGGCCTCAGTGGACCAAACCAATCACTTTAGTCGTCTATGTGCATGGCTACGCACCCACAGGGACGTTGCCATGCTCAGAATCTCAAAAGGCGCCGTAATAACGCCCCAGGGCATGCATTAAGCGCTCGCGCCGCCTGGAGGCGCTCCGGCCGCCCACCATGGGATGTGGTGCGTGGCTGGCCTAACGTGTGAGATCAGCTGAGTTGATTGCCGTATCAACCGATGGAACGGCTGGCATATCCAGAAAACTCGTTTGGACGTGACTCTCCCCCGAGCAAATCCTCCTTCACTGCTAGAAGGAATGGGTTTTCGATTTAGGGTTTGTCGACAGTTTTTTTTTCGTTTTTTCTTCACTATCGTTCCACCTCCCATCTCTAAACTCAATATCAGGTGCCATAATGCCGAAACACGAGCCTGACTTTTGCCTTTAAGACGGGCTAAAGTAGGTGTCCTTGTCTCATCATCCAAAAGAAGAGATTTCCGTTGACGACAAGTTCGTAACCCGCCTTTCCGCTCTAAAACTAGGGTGCAAAGAATGAATGGAAGCTGTAGGTGACATTATCGAAAAATGCGAAACAACAACCCCGAGCAAGGATGTGGCTATATTTAGGGGAAGGGGTCTCGGGACGTGTGAACCATGGGTAAGCCATCCATCAAATAGTAAACTTATGTAAATTAAGACAAAATGTATGTAAAATTTATTGTAGGTTTGTCAAAAATCCACTCGTCCAGGTCCTGGGAAGATATGTTATTCCACATTGCTGAGAGTATATACGGGTATATTAAGATTGCTAGAAACATTCCAAAAACAAAAGAAATAATCGTGCGCCACCATGTGGCGCACGCCGTCCGTTATAGGTTAACCAGTCTAGCTCCGCACGCATCCGTGCGAATTATACGGTGGGCTTCAGTGAAACTGGACAACCTGTAGAATGTTAGGTCGCATGGCTGAGAAATATTATTGAGCTGCTTTGAAAAATGCTCCTGATAAAATGCAAAAGGCTGTCCATTCCGCTGAAGACTATCGCGTAGTGCACGCGTAGCATGCGGAATGAAAATGGCTTATCACGACTTCGTAAACATTCAGCATTAATATCGAGTTTGGATGATTTAGCGGTTTATAGAATTTCCACAATTGAAGAATCGGTGTGTAAGTGAAATATAAACCAATCAATCAGCATCTAACCGAGCTGTGATGGAAATTGGAAATAATGGAAATTCGCTATTGGTCCAAGTCCAGATAGTTGAGCAGCTCAACTTTCTTTGCTTCTTTGGATGAAAGGATAGGAATGGAACATATTCACGTGCTAGGGACCTGGTTTAGTTCAGCTGAGTGCACGCTCAACTGTCGCTACTTTTATCAGTACAGTTGCCGCTCATACCACTTTCTGTCACCTACATTCAACCCTCGCCACCTTGATCGCTTGCCAGTGATAATTGCAACGAAGTTGGAGAGACCTGCATTCAAACGCTCTTATCATTCCTTGTCATTTCTTATCAGTTCATACTGTTCGCAATCGGTGTCCCGGTCCCAACCTCCAGGCAACGTGTAGGAGCTAATATTTACTGTCACCACGAAGGCTGCAACGAAATTAGCAGTACTCAAAATCCTAACTTCCTTATCAACCGTTATCGCTTGTTATCACTTCTGATCATCCGCTATCCGTGTTCCCGTCCCATCCCCTATACCACATGTGAGAGCCAAGGTTCCAATGTAACCGCAAGGGCCGCAACGAAACTGGTGGTATCCACACTTTGACGCCCCTTATCAGTTCTTATCAGTTGCTACCACATTCGTTCAACTCAACTTCTTGGTCCCCGCCTCACTCCACATACCATGAGTCAAGTGCAAACTCTCCACTTGATCAGTTTTGATGAATATTGGACAGCGTGTTGCCAGTATTGTAAAACACTTCCACTTGTGCGTCTTCTATTCTCTGTAGCTATTACATTCCCTGTCAAGTCGGGAGAACTTTATCGTGTACAAAAAAAAAACCAAACCCCCTAAATAGGGTAGCATATAATACGACGTCAAACGATGTATACTCGACGAATGTCGATCACGTACAGACGGTGCTTCAAGTATAAAGTGAAATCGATTCTATATATAGCTAAAAAGGTCAGTGTTTTAATCCTCCCAGACAAGCTGGTACTACTTAAAGGCAAAAGTCTGGGCTCAATAAGGGGGATTATGGCGATTGAAACTGAGTATAGAGATGCGAAGTGTAACGGCAGTGGAGAAAAAACCGCGAAAAACCCTCGACAAGGCCGTTAACAAAGCCCTCTTTCTCAAAAGCAATGAAGGAGGCCGGCTTGGGGAAGAGGCACGTACAAGCAAGTTTTCTGAAGATATCAGTCGTTCTATCGGTTGATACGGCTATCAACCTAGCTGATTTCACACGTTATGCCACATCCCGAGGTGGGCGGTCGTAGCGGGGCTAGGCGGCGATAGCGCATAGTACGTGCCCTGAGGCCTTATTACCGCGTCGTTTGAGATTTTGAGCATGGGAACATCTCTATGGGTGCGTAACCAATTACAGGAATGACCGAAAGGGTTGGTTAGGTTCACTAAGCCCGACCTTTGCCTTTAAGTGCTATTGCTACTACACTATAACTACTAATTGATTTCGGAAGATTTGATCGCCCCGCGTAACATAAAGGATTCGCTCTCTTGCCGGCATGCATGCGAAGCGCTATTCAACATTTCATCACTTTTGCCCGAATGAAATATGTAGTTTACCGCCATGAATTTACACCTCTACTTGGTTGCTTATTTCATTTCTTTTCTGTTGCCCTAAATTTTTCCCACCCTACGTTAATTTACGCAGTCGGTTCCCGGTTTTCCTGACATGTATTTCTGCGCCTTGGTTCGCGTTTTCGAATGCTCACTTTCTTTATGAATTATACTGCGAGGAACTCTTTTCAGTATGGGAGTATGTGGCGCCGTGGAAGTTATTACGAATGTACTGAGATCACCTGCTGCGGAATTCATACTCGATTCGGCTCTACATTTTACTGTTCAGGTGATTTTTTTTATTTCAAAATTATTGAGTTTGAAACGAAAATGAACATGGCCCAGAAATTCGCCCACCTAATTCCGAGTCGACACAAGTTATGCCTTATATCTCCATCACCTCTATGGTGAACAGGTTGTTCTCCAGTCTAACAATTAAGTTAAAACATCAACTGATCATCGTAGCAAGCTATATGCCCCTACGTCTTGGTGTGCCTTACCAAACAGGACCGATTCGGTTAGTGGTGCTATCACAACAAACACTTTCTATAAATTGCTCAATCCCAATTTCACTCGAGGAGTCATTTTGAAGTCACAAACTAGTAGCGGCTCCGTTTCTGCACCATTTCATCGAGTTTTTTATCCTTTGTACAAAATTTTGTACTGGGTGATGCCAGGAATATGTGAGCCACGAAGATAAAAACCTTGGGAATGCACTCCGTCGGCTGATAAGTCAATACATTAGGCTCTTACTACTATACCCAATTACTAGTAACCATAAGCCTTGAAAGCAAAGTTTATGCAATTAGTGATATGGAAAGCATAAAAAATTAAAGAAAAAAATGTGACCGACCTGCTGACCTCACCAGGAAGCTATCTGTGATTTTTGACATGCTTCGCTTTCAACTCCCGTTATCTTGCAATACACATTAACAATTTAGTAGAAGATTCTAGTTTCAAAACTTTAGCATGCATTATATCGGTGAATACTCTGCAGTTCGGGGGGTGGGGGCACTCCATTTTTCTTCGTCAATACCTTTCATAGGATTATGGGCTCACAGACACGTAATCGATCTTCAATTTAAAGTAGACCCTTCTGATAAATCATCGCCTTGATTCGTCTTTGTGAAATCGTGGCTGAGCGTTCTAGAACGAAAGCTAAGAACGAAACTTCTTTTGGGTTTCCAATTTTTTGCACGTTTTGTTACTGTTTTAGTTCGAATTCTTTGATTCTAATGGCTGCCTTTTCATCATAAACGCCTCCGCCTTTCACGATGATCAACAGCAGTACAACCCCAGTCAAGAATTCAATTACAATACTGTGTTCATATTGTCTGAACAGACGGTTGACTCTGTTCCTAAGACCACCGGTCCTTGAACAGTAGCGATTTGCGCGGCTGGCGCAACCTCCTTCTCATCGAAATTTCGAACAACAGATTCATCGTTGTGAAATCGTGGCGGAGCATTCTAGAGCGAATGCTGAGAACAAAACTTCCTTTGGTTTTCAATTTTTTTGCACCTTTTTGTTACTCTTTTATTTCGAATTCTTTGATTTTTTCCCAGTATTTTAATTTTTTGTTCAAGTTATAACTCAGAACTCCGCCCCGTAAAGAATCATGATGACTTTGACTAGTCTTTACATCCATTTCGACTATCTATGTGCAATCTATAGAGCGAAGGGGCAGATTTTGTGGATTTTACCACGGAAATGGTAGCCGTGTGCACGCGCTCGCTCACATGTTAGATGGTAACACCCGAGGGAGTTCTTTTCTTCAGACTGCTGGTATATTGTGCTGTCTGCCGTTGAGTACTTTTTTTCGATTCCTGTTTTGGGCGAAAGTTTTGCCCATAGTTTAGCATTCTTGCGGAACTTTTCTAAACGCTTCACTCTGACTGAATTACCTTCTAAATGTTACAGATTTTTTTTCTGTGCTTGCAATAATTTTATATGTCGGATTTATGAATACTAAACACTTCACTTCGCAGCATTTGCGCCGAAACAAAGAACGGTGTAGCTCACTCCAGCTAATATTGGCCAATAGCCGGCAATTCAATAACGGCACCCATTTGAACTTGATTGATGGATGACTGGTGATTGAGTTCTCGCGAAATTGCTGATCTTATTTGATCGCTTAGATCTCCACCTTGAAATTTGGCGAACTATTCCTTGACCACTTTTGCTCTTAAGTTAGTTCCAAAACAAATGCAAACAAAATATTAGGTTGAGCAATAATTGTCCGCTGTTTCTCAGACTCCTGGCTCTTTTAATTTTTTCTTAGCCCCTGTGGACGGCGCAGTATATTGTTTCGCGTGCGCCACCGTGTGGCGCACGCCGCTATTTATGCGCAACCAGTAGGTTAAAGCCACGAGTCAGGCTCAGTGGACCAAACCAATCACTTTAGTCGTCTATGTGCATGGCTACGCACCCACAGGGACGTTGCCATGCTCAGAATCTCAAAAGGCGCCGTAATAACGCCCCAGGGCATGCATTAAGCGCTCGCGCCGCCTGGAGGCGCTCCGGCCGCCCACCATGGGATGTGGTGCGTGGCTGGCCTAACGTGTGAGATCAGCTGAGTTGATTGCCGTATCAACCGATGGAACGGCTGGCATATCCAGAAAACTCGTTTGGACGTGACTCTCCCCCGAGCAAATCTCCTTCACTGCTAGAAGGAATGGGTTTCTATTTAGGTGTTGTCGACAGTTTTTTTTCGTTTTTTCTTCACTATCGTTCCACCTCCCATCTCTAAACTCAATATCAGGTGCCATAATGCCGAAACACGAGCCTGACTTTTGCCTTTAAGACGGGGCTAAAGTAGGTGTCGTGTCTCATCATCCAAAAAAAGAGATTTCCGTTGACGACAAGTTCGTAACCCGCCTTTCCGCTCTAAAACTAGGGTGCAAAGAATGAATGGAAGCTGTAGGTGACATTATCGAAAAATGCGAAACAACAACCCCGAGCAAGGATGTGGCTATATTTAGGGGAAGGGGTCTCGGGACGTGCGAACCATGGGTAAGCCACCCATCAAATAGTAAACTTATGTAAATTAAGACAAAATGTATGTAAAATTTATTGTAGGTTTGTCAAAAATCCAGTCGTCCAGGTCCTGGGAAGATATGTTATTCCACATTGCTGAGAGTATATATGGGTATATTAAGATTGCTAGAAACATTCCAAAAACAAAAGAAATAATCGTGCGCCACCATGTGGCGCACGCCGTCCGTTATGGGTTAACCAGTTAGCTCCGCACGCATCCGCGCGCATCATATGGTGGGCTTCAGTGAAACTGGACAACCTGTAGAATGTTAGGTCACATGGCTGAGAAATATTATTGAGCTGCTTTGAAAAATGCTCCTGATAAAATGCAAAGGCTGTCCATTCCGCTGAAGACTATCGCGTAGTGCACGCGTAGCATGCGGAATGAAAATGGCTTATGACTTCGTAAACATTTAGCATTGATATCGAGCTCGGATGATTTAGCGGTTTATAGAATTTCCACAATTGAAGAATCGGTGTGTAAGTGAAATATAACCAATCAATCAGCATCTAACCGAGCTATGATGGAAATTGGAAATATAATGGAAATTCGCTATTGGTCCAAGTCCAGATAGTTGAGCAGCTCAACTTTCTTTGCTTCTTTAGATGAAAGGGTAGGAATGGAACATATTCACGTGCTAGGGACCTGGTTTAGTTCAATGAGTGCACGCTCAACTGTCGCTACTTTTATCAGTACAGTTGCCGCTCATACCACTTTCTGTCACCTACATTCAACCCTCGCCACCTTGATCGCTTGCCAGTGATAATTGCAACGAAGTTGGAGAGACCTGCATTCAAACGCTCTTATCATTCCTTGTCATTTGTTATCAGTTCATACTGTTCGCAATCGGTGTCCCGGTCCCAACCTCCAGGCAACGTGTAGGAGCTAATATTTACTGTCACCACGAAGGCTGCAACGAAATTAGCAGTACTCAAAATCCTAACTTCCTTATCAACCGTTATCGCTTGTTATCACTTTTGATCATCCGCTATCCGTGTTCCCGTCCCATCCCCTATACCACATGTGAGAGCCAAGGTTCCAATGTAACCGCAAGGGCCGCAACGAAACTGGTGGTATCCACACTTTGACGCCCCTTATCAGTTCTTATCAGTTGCTACCACATTCGTTCACTCAACTTCTTGGTCCCCGCCTCACCCCACATATCATACATGAGTGCAAACTCTCCACTGTCAACGCGAACGGTGTAACGAAATTGGTGACATCAACATTTCGACGTCCGTTATCAGCTCCTATCAGTAGTTATCACTTCCCGCCACCCGTCATCAGTGTTCACCTCCGGCCCCCTATATATCCTAGAAGTTTGAGCGCTCT